CACAAAGATACACAATGGGCTATCTGTGCTCTGCCAACCACGGGTATCGAAACCCGGTTTCTAGCGTTGTAAGTCCGCAGACTTATATAACATCTGGGTTGGAGGAAGTGGTATTTTACGCTATTGGTATGTTACATTTAAGAACTATTTTATAGATATATTCATAATATTTAAACAGATCTGTTTTTATGACAAATTTTTTTAACATACCATAACTAGAATCTGGTTTAAAAACAAAAACTTACCAGTCAATAAATACCTAGATAAGCAGTAATGTTAATCTTGTCATCTGGTGATTAGCGTGATCCGACTATGAATTCGAGGGTTCATGGTTCGCGGACTGTTGCTACAAAAGAGCGCTCCGCACTTTGGGTCCGTGGTTGCGTTATTAGAGCGACAGTCAAATTCCACTATTTGGTCAGACAGGAGTATCTTAAGAGTTAGCGGTGGATGCTATTGACAAAATGCATTCCCACTAGTCTATCAGTTCAAAATTAGGGACGACTATAGGCAGATAACCCACAAACAAATAGGTAGGCAGATAACCCACAAACAAACAGGTAGGCAGATAACCCACAAACAAATAGGTAGGCAGATAACCTACAAACAAATAGGTAGGCAGATAACCCACAAACAAACAGGTAGGCAGATAACCCACAAACAAATAGGTAGGCAGATAACCCACAAACAAATAGGAAGAGTTTCATTGAAATATTGAGCACAAGATGCGCCCCGATAACTTGATGTTGAGGACCTATAATATCAAAACTTGGAGTACGAGCTGTGGCCACAACACAGCGGACTCAATATGTAGTTTTGTATTTAACAATATGTTGAATAACAGAGTTCAGAAAAGTACTAACATTTTTCTAAGATTAATATTTCATTTGCCAATGTGCATTTAGCCATCCCCCCTCTTTTTTTCTTTTTACAATGAAGAATAAGCATGCATATTGCGGCGGTCACTTGATATGGCTAACTGTTGTTTGCACAACCGGTAGATCAGCGGTAAGCTCCTGAACTTACAACGCTAAAATCATAGGTTCGATTCCTCGCGATGGACAGAGCGCAGATAGCCCTTTCTGTAACTTTGCACTAAAAACCAACAACGACAATAACGTTGATTCCATAATATTTATTTTACTTGGAGAAACCATTTTCATCCCTATTATCCCTGTTTTTATAATCTACACATGTACATATATATTTTTCTTTCTTTCAGGACTCACTTTACTCGTCATCATTGTGTAATTGTATCCACTACGCTCGTGATAGTGTTAGTCTCTATAATAATCACCCTCTCGCTAGGCCTACCGAAGATTCGAGAGAAGAAGCTGAAGTACCTTGACACGTCATTTCCTGTTTCTTCCTCCATACTTGGTGTATATGATAAAGCTGTTATTCTAGCCGATGCTGAACCATGTGCACCAATAGGGAAGTACGTACAGTAAGAATTATGACGTGTAACGTTAAGACTTTTAACAACGTCGGCACTGGGTTTGGCAGATGTAGTGTGGTTCAGATACTACTAGATACTAGTAGAGACCCGCGAAACATTTGCAGTCAAATTAGTATCTTTATTGCAACAGGACTTCTTGAAATACGGGATTTCTAGAATAATACATAATAATTATAATCGCAGGCACCGAAATCTATAAGTCCAATTGTCTTAGGCCTAACATTAATTAAGCCTTTATTCAGTACGGCCTATATTTGATAAAGAGATAATTTAATACCGAGACTTGTGTATATTTTTGTTTTAGTTTAGTTAGGGTTAAACTTTACCGTACTTAGTATTATCAATAAATAAACTTATAATGTTATTCTACGACCTAACGTTAGAATGTTTTTAAGACGCACTGTCTGCAGTATCCCAGCCGACATAACTAGTTCTGGTATTGAGCTAATGGCCTTATCAGCACTGTAGGTGGCAGATTATTGACATAGTACGAGTTATAATTCTTTGATTTCACTCATAAGTTTGATCTTACTTTGTTTTTGTAGAAATTATATATGCATGCGATGGTTTTATTGTCATTGGCTTGAAATGTTTACATGTTCTACAGTAATTCCTGTACACTGAATCAGAAAACGATATCCATTTCTGCAAAACGTCACAACACAATACATAAAAGAAAGACAAACAACACGCAGTTTTGAGACAAAGACGTATTAATAAGGATGAATATTCGTTTAACATCAATGTTCTACCCTTTTATTCAGTTTGTTTGTATTTTTGTTAACAAACATAATAATAAAAAAATGTTCATTGAGGTAAACGAAATAATAATTTGATCTGAACAAGTCTTTTCTTCTTCCATATTTGTAAAAAATCCTTACGTGCTTGAAAAAAATGAATATTATTTTCAAAGTCTGCGTAGCTGAATCAT